TACACCGCGAATTTCTCTTAGTTTATTGAAAAGAAAAGGTTTTGCTAATATTTGGAGAATTAAACGTCAATACCTTGTACTCTGAGTAATTTAAAGATAACAGAATGCAATGTATTTCTAATCATTACCACCCTCCTATTATCTTGTTTTGAAATTTTCTTTTTTTTCTCTTTTAACAAAATAAAATTTAAAAATATGTGGAACAATGTTGCTTTGAATCTGATAATAAGCCAAGTGTAGACAATGCGAGAGGAGCGCAGGCTTCCTCAAGCCGTCCCGGAAGAGGGAGCGTTAGCCTGCAGCTTCTGTTGCTCACTAGGCAAAGGTCAGTCGTCAGCTGGGACGTGGCCGCAGCACCTGAGCGGCTACGCCCAGGAAACGGGAAGTTCCCGGACGGAGCACCGGGGTGTGTGTGTGTGTGTGTGTGTGTGTGTGTGTGTGTGTGTGTAAATAAAAGCACTTGGTATTTCTGTGTCACCTGTCATCTGACGATCTGAGTGTTTATGGCATCCTTGCCAGACCCCGCGCGCAGCCAGCCAGGCGCCAGGCGCCCCCCGCACCCCGAAGCCCTTGGTCCCCCCAGCCCCCGCCGTCCCCGGGTATCCCCGCGGTTCCTGGGTCCCCCTCGCTGCCAAGTGCCGTCCCAGCTCCAAGGGACCAAAGACTCCAAAAGGCTCGCGGCTCCCAGGCTAGCGCACGGCGACCCCGTGTGCAGACCGAGGCGGCACCGAGCAGAGCGCGGAGCCGTGACTTGCCTCCGGTGCCCTCCGAGCCGCGAAACCCGCCTGCCGCTCCCTCCAGGCGACCGGGGTGGCGAACCGGACCCGGAGCAGGGCGGACCCGACCCGCCCGCCGCTCCTCCTCCCGAGCGAGCTCAAGTCCGCGGATCGGGTCGAGCAGCGGGGCAGAAGCGGGTCGGAGGCCGCAATTCGCAGGGCTGGCGCGTCGGTGCTTTCTCTCTCGGAGTTCCGGTCTCGGACCTGGTGAGCCTGCGGGGGCGCGGGGAGTAGGCGCGGGCCAGGGGAGCGGGCGGGAGAGTCGGGGCGCTCGCGGGAGCGCTTGCGGGAGACGCCGCGTCTCAGGGTTTTATAGTTACAGGCTTGGGTCGAATTCATCAGATCCAGAGTCTTTGAGGAATCAACTAATTTCCAGAGCCGCAGAGAGATCACCCTCAAGTGGATGAATTTTGAATATAATTCAAGGCCTCACCGAACAATGCAATAATCATAAAATTAAATAAAGTCCAGAAAACGGAACTTTCTAAGAAAAACTAAGTTCAAAGCAGGAGACTCATGGGTTCAAATTCTCTCTGCCACTTACTGTGCTCTTTGCCACTTGAAAGTTGCTTGATTTCCGTAAGACTCAAGGGCTACGACCTGCAAACCAAGCTCCCAGCACGATTTACCAAGAGGGCGCTAGCGGGGCCAGACGGGAGGCCGGTTTGCACACAGGCTGCTGCTTGAGCAGTGGTGTTGACAGAGCCTTCTGGATCAGCCCAGTGTGAGTGTAGCTTGGCAGACAGACGTCGCTGGAATTAGGCTGGACTTGAACTAGTCTACGGAAAGCCGGTCCAAAACACTCGGCAGGTGGGGGTTGGGGCAGCAACAAAACCCACCTGGCTTCTGCATCTTTTCAAAAATTTAGAGTATGTATATTGAATTATTTGTTTTAAAATGGTATTGACTTCGGGTTTATGTACAAGAAATATAAAAGAATAGCACCTGCATTTTGGCAGCTTTTGCTTCTTGAGCTTAAATTACAGGGAACTGACCTGATTTTGTGAATATTTTAAATGGCAATTCTGTTTATGTTGCTTAGTTTTACTGATGTTGGTAGCTGGTTTTGAGCAGGGGACAGCTTAGTATTTATGACTAGTAGTTTCTACCGATAACATTTTATGTTTTCATTTTACTAATATGCTTAAATGTTTTGCAGTTGATCCTAACATCGCTACTTCAGTTGCTTCTTTTTCATAAATTGTAGAGTTGAGATGCTGAAACTTACTTATTAGATATTGCCTTGGGAATTATGGATAGAATTCTGAAGCCAAATACCTTTACAGTGTTATTGTATCCTGGGGTGAAACAGTGGTTACTTTAATTAGATAATACTTATAATCAAATTGATTTAGAATAGAGTACAGTATTTTTCAAAGAAGAAATACTTTTATGTTAAAAATATATTGCTGAACTTCTTAAATCAAATCATTTGAATTTATATTTTAATAACCTATATAAAGAGCAGTAGTCCCCAAATGAAATATATCTACTTAAACATATTTAATATTGAGATTAAATCTATTTAACCACAAACTATGTATGTTTTCCTAATTAAACTTTTCTACTATTTCTGATGAGCATAACACTTTACAACAAACCACTAAATATGCATCAAATAACCAACAGTGACAAAGAAACAAATCAACTTTTCCAGTTATTTTCAGAATGCACCAGTCTGGTCTCAAACTCACAATGATCCTCCTGCCTCAGTCTCCCAAGTGCTGTGATTACAGGCATGTGCCACCACACATATATAATTAAAAGTTTTATTCCTGAACTTGGTTTTAAATCCTTTTTTAAAAAAAGCATCTTTTAACTGAAAAGAAACCTAATGTTGATAGTTCATTTGCTTGTGTAGATACTCATAGGTTACACTGTAAATGGGAATTTAGAGTTGCTATCAAGGGGTTCATATAAAAGTTGAAATTTTAAAAAAATGTTCAGTTATAGACTAATCAAACACAGCCTCTGAGAAAGCATTTCTTAACATTCCTTCTTTGCACTAAAGTCTAGGTTTAGAGAACTATTCTGTTGCAAAAATTAACCTATAATTGACTATCAATCGTAGTGATTTCCTCACTCCCCTAATATAATGTTAAATACCAAACTACTTAGTGCTGGTTTTAGAATACGAAGATGCCTCCTCTTTAAATTGTGAGGATTTTATCTTAGAAGCTTAGAGACTTAAAGGAAAACGTCCTGCACCCTTACCAGAGTGCAGTAAATGGAGCACCAATAAAAAGTGTAAGTCTTTTATAACCCATGTAAATATATCTTATTATTAAATATTGCCTTGGGAATTATGAATAGAATTCTGAAGCCAAATAACTTTTCAGTGTTATTGTACCCTGGGGTGGAACTGTAGTTATTTTAATTAGATAATACTTATAAAATAATCAAATTGATTAAATGGAAAAATGAATGATGTGAAGTCAGCCTGCAGAATTTCTTCTTGGAAACTCAGCTGAAGTGGAGAACCCTTGAGCTCCATTTCAGTCACAACTGCAGAAGCTACGGTGGCCGGCTGCTGCGCAGCTCCTGCCAGGCCGAACGGTGGCGAAAGGCCTTGGACCCTTAAGTAGCTTGACTCCCATCTGCTTTTCCATTTGCTCTTGCTTTCCTCCTCCCTTGGGTCTCTCTGGACCAAATAAAACACAATGCATTAAGTGCCATGTGGAGGTGCAGTACAATACTAGACAGTTGGCATTTCAAATGAGACTGTACTTCACTGTTCAGGTACAAATCTCTTTGTTTGATCTGTATTCTATTTAATCCTATCTTAAATTCAAAAATTGAAATACATTTTTATCTGTAACAAAAATTCCTAATAAAACTAATGTCAAGAAAAAGAAAAAGAAACTAATGTCACTCAATAAAGTGGTAGATTTTATACTTCAGTTCTTATCTTATATCATCTCAGCAAATAGGGCATGTTATTTGGGGGAAAAAGTGGGCCCCATGTTTCCCAGAAGAAATTCTTCCAGTAACTCTTATTTCCTTTCTTTTAAAAACTAGGTAGTGGATGAAATTATTGATTGTGTATAGCTTAGTCTCATTCCTCGAGGTGATGTAATTGGACTTAGCTCTGCTCACCACAGTCTCAGGTTCTAGGTCAGAGGTGTGAGAAAATGGCTGTGTTTTAAGGATGGATGTGTATTTGTAACTTTCCATTGTTTCTTCAAACTGTTGCAATATTTTCTTTAAAAAACAACTCCATGTCCACAACCCTTGATATAATCTTATCTTATAATACCCACTTGCTTTTCTAATGTGCTACTTCTGTTTTAGTTACTTTCACTGAGGGTACATGTGTGAGGTAAGATATATTCCTTTTGTATGATTTAGAATTGTGCATATAAAATCGATCAGAATCACTCATGTGTTTATAGAACTTAATTTTATTTTTATCTTTTAGTGTTTTTGTAATGTATTTGTTACAGAGTCTCACTACACAGCTCGGACTCATATTGATCCTCTTATTTTCAGTCTCTCCAGTGCTGGAAATACAGGTGTGCACTACCATGTCCGGACTTGGTCCTCAGCTCAGCATCCCTGGGGCTGGGGCTGGCACTTAATCTTATTTTTAATATTTTAGTGTTTACTATACAACAAATACTCTAAATGTTTCATATATGTTTGCATATATTCATTTACCCTAGAAGACACAAAAATGAAATAACAATAATTCTTTTCTGAATGATCTAGTAAGGGCCAGTGAGATAGCTCAGCAGACTAAGTACTTGCTTAGGCAAGTGCAGGGATTGGGGTTTGATCCCTGACGCCACATACCATGCTGGCCCTGCCCCTGAGCATGCTGAGCAGCCACTTAGACTGGGCATGGTGGTGCATGCTCTTAATCCCAGTGCTGGGGAGACTGAAAACAGGAGGATCACTAGGAGTCCAAGCTGCATAGGGAGACCACATAACAAATACATTAAAAAAAAAGAGAAAAAAATAAAAGAAAAAAACCTAGTAGTCAATTTAAGTAAAATAAAATATGGTTAAAGAACAAAAACAGCAAGTACCTCAAGTCACAAGCCAAACAATTCAATTCAGAAACAGAAGCATTTGGAAAAATTTTGCTTCTGTTGCTGAACTCTGCATCAGGTGACAAACATGACTGTGGCATCTTTCCCACTCTGACACATGGTCATAGCTTCCTCTAGTTGAGATCCTGGTGGCAGATCCTTCACTCTGTGAAGCATTTCTCTGGGTGTATTTATTTATTTATTTATTTATTTATTTATTTATTTATTTGATGGTCAAGCAATCTTTATTTGCTGGTGGCAAAAGGTCACAACACTTGAGTACTTAAACCTGCAGTTAACAGTGATGCTTATGCAGGGTAAACCAAGCAGGGCTGAAAGGAATAGGAACAGGGAAGTCGAGGACCAAGACAAAGGCATGGTAAGCCCAACCACTGCAAGCTGCGCTGTGCCCCGAAATCTCAGCAAGAGCAGACCAGCCAAAATTACTGACTACTTAAACACAAAGAGTGCTGTACAGTGTGGCTCCAAAGAGAGTGCAGAGTGGAAGTGAAGGTGACAAAAGAGTGGAGAGCAACGTTGAAAGTAAAAAAAAAAAAAAAAGAAAAAAGAAATGCAGAACAAGAATGCTAAGAAGGTTTTAAAGAAAATAACTACTGAGTTGAAAAAAATTGTAGAAAAGCATGAGTGTGACATTTGTGTGACTGAGTATGACTGATCTGGCCTAAGAAGAGAAAGTGGCAAAATCCACAGTCTCACTGTTTTGAAGAATAAAGATGTCATCAAGCAGTGGTGGTGGCAAAAGAAGTAATAATGTCAACTGAGCAGAGAACATGCTGCTGGAAGCAGTGGAAAACTTTTGTCAGTGTAGCTGAATGAGAAACAGCAGGCAAGGGATGGCATTAGAGACGCAGGATCTGTGAGAAAGCCTGGAAATTGCACAGTGATTTACTCAAGAAAACACCACCACAAGCACAAGTGATGAATTTAAAGCTAGTGGAGGGTGGTTTGAAAAATTCTGTAACAGAAGTGTCGTTTGTAAGAGAGGTGCCATCTGCAGGGATAAGACATGGGGTGAAAAACTGAAAGGGTAAAATAAGGTTCAATTAGGCAAGCACAGGGCCTAATCAGGCCAGGGTTTGATCCCTGGTACCGCATGCCAAAGCCGGACCTGCCCCAGGAGCGCTGAGCTGGCTACCGAGTCTGGATGTGGTGGTGCACGCCTACAATCCCAGTGCTGGGGAGGCTGAAAACAGGAGGATCACTACAAGTCTGAGCTGCATAGTGAGACCCTGTGCCAAAAATATATTTAAAAAAAAATAAGGTTCAAGATGTATACTAGATTCTTAGAAATAGGAAGAACATATTCAAATGGGAAGGAAGGGGAAAAGGGAAGGGGAGGAGAAAGGAAGGAAGGGAAAAGAAAACAGAATAGAAGGAAAAATGGAAACAAAGCTTGTATAAATAAGGAGGGGATTTGGAAAAAAATCAAGATGTATTAGGTACAGGTACAAATTGTCTACGATGAATGTGATTATTATGTATATGTAACACATACCAATAACATTAATTTCTAAAAAAGACATGGTGAAAATAAAAAGGAGGGGGCTGGGGAGATGGCTCAGTAGAATAAGTGCTTCCCTGGCAAGCGCAAGGGTCTGAGTTCAATCTCCAGTTAAAAAAAAAAAAAAAAAGACATGGTGAGACTTGCAGTTCTGACCGGGCCACCACAGAAGTCTCCAAAAAAGAATTCATGAAGTCAGAAGGCTACATCACTCAGCTGTGATGAAACAGGGCTCTTCTGGAAAATGATGCTGAACAGAACCTGTATCATGCAGGAGGAAAAGACAGTGCCACACCCAAGCCCAGGAAGGACAGTG